CTGCTGCGGCGGTTGTTACAAGCATCATCTGACCCTACAACAACGCGGTCACCATCATGCACTAGAAGCGGCAACGACCTAGCTAGATATGCTCGAACTCTTCCAAAAGCATCTGCGGATCGACAGCCGGCTGCTGCTAGAGGCCGACCATAGCGCATTCGGAGAGTATGCAGAGCAGCCCGGATAGGTCGGGACGCTACACGCCTAGGGCTGCATCATAGGGTCACGATCGTTGTGCTGTATTGGCTCCATGCATCGCACTTGAAAACATGCCGAATTATCCATACCACCTCAGCAGTGGCGCCACGTCTGTGATGTGCCACGTTTCTTGTTAGTATCTCGTGTCCAGTGGTGTACGAGAAGTACGCACATTGGCCGGTGAGATTGCCATGTTTCAAGACATGGGATTGTAATCCCTGTCGCGCAACCTCGGCAAAAAAGGAGTCGCCCAAGAACGCCCAGGCACAATTTCAAGACCATCGATTTAACCCGACCAAGTTAACTCCCGCGTTGGCGCCTTCCGTTAGATCCACACTGCAAATGTTTGGACGTGATGTCATGCCGCCTGTTCCTGCTGGTGCTGCTGTCCACCGAGTGGCCTTGATCGGCCGCTACGACCATCCCACGCCATCCGCATGTGTGTTTATTCACTTTTTTGCGCGCCCGTTGTCCGGATCCAGGCGACTATACGAGAAGCTTTGTTGGCGCATGCAGGTGAAGCCGGGTGTCGCGCGTCCCTTCAGGCTTAGACTTCGCTCTTTCTGCGCTGTCACCATCATCGCGCCGTCACTACCGGCAACGCGGAACCGTCACTGACCCAGATCTTCCGACCCACCAAGACGCCAAACCTCTTCGCACAGCTCACTATGGCAAACCCTACGCCTAGTCCCAAGCGCGAGGGTCTCGTCTCGCCCATCGGTATGGTCATCGAAGAGCCGACCTTTCCGAATATCCCTGGCCAAGAGCCCACCACGCCCACGCCCGTCCACAACACTTCGACCGCAGACATGGCTCAACCAGCAGGCGTATCGTCGCCAGACCAGCCCATCGAAGCCCCACGAGACACCGCGGAGTCTACCCCCGATGATCAGGACTACTTCGCGTCGACGACGCGTCCCACACAGCAGAGATGGGCAACGGAACGGCCGAAGCCCTCTGTGCGACACTCTTTGCTAGGAAGGATGCAGAAGCCCCGCGAGGCAAGACCAGCCGCACCCGAGAGAGCAGCAACAATCACCTTCGACCCCGAATCCGAATCCTCAGACTCCTCAGACGATGAGAGGCAACTCCCCCGCAAGAGCCTCGGCCATGCAGACGACCTCACCAAACAAGCAACGCGCCAGCCTCGCGGACGCCGATCGGGGCCCTTTTCTCGTCTCAAGATCGCCAACGAGCATTTCAACACAAAGGGCAGGGTATCCAAGGCGGACGGACGTCTGAAGCTTAGTATACTCGAGGAGAACCATGGCAGTGGATACATCGCAAAGGCTCTGGGCACAGCTTTCAAGAAGAATAGCAATGACGAGAATCAAGGCCCTACGAGTTACGACGATGCCGGAGCTACCAAGATTAGCCCTGAGGATGACGAGATGGAACATGATCCTTCACGAAGAATCAAGCTCAACATTGTTATCATCATCATTGGTTCGCGCGGAGATATTCAGCCCTTCATCCGGATAGGCAAGATTCTGAAAGAAGACTACGGACATCGCGTTCGCATGGCCACACACCCGGCTTTCAAGGACTTTGTGGAAAAGGACTCCGGCTTGGAGTTTTTCTCTGTTGGCGGCAACCCGGCAGAGCTGATGGCCTTCATGGTCAAGAATCCTGGACTAATACCGAACATCGACACTATCAAGGAGGGTGAGATAGGCAGGCGAAGGAGCCAGATGTACGAGATGTTCCAGGGCATGTGGCGTGCCTGCATCAACGCAACCGACGACGAAACGGATAAGACGAACGTGAAAATGAGTAAGTTCCTCGGTTGCATCCGTGTTACACATGACTAATATCAAGTAGTGGGTGATAAGGCACCTTTCGTTGCAGACGCTATCATTTCAAATCCGCCAAGTTTCGCACCCACTCATATTGCTGAGAAGCTCGGCATTCCGCTACACATGATGTTCACGTAAGTACTTGAAATGCAGACTTGCGAGTCAGTACTAACTCCCGATAGCTTCCCTTACACGCCTACGAGCCAGTTTCCTCACCCACTGGCGAACATCAAGGCCAGTAACGTCGAAGCCACCTACAGCAATTTCATGTCGTATCCGCTCGTCGAGATGATGATGTGGCAGGGTCTCGGCGACCTTATAAATCGATTCCGTACCCAGGTCTTGCATCTTGAGGAAGTAAGCAGAATATGGGCGCCAGGCCAACTCTATCGGCTCAAGGTACCTTATACCTACATGTGGTCACCCGGTCTCATCCCAAAGCCAAAGGATTGGGGCCCAGAGATTGACATTTCCGGTTTCGTCTTTCTGGATCTTGCTTCCTCATTTACGCCACCGGATGAGTTGAAGAAGTTCCTGGACGACGGGCCTCCCCCGATCTACATTGGGTTTGGCTCCATCGTTGTAGATGACCCAGACGAATTCACTAGTTTGATCTTCGAAGCTGTCAAGTCCGTTGGCTGCCGTGCCCTTGTTTCGAAAGGTTGGGGTGGCTTTGGCTCCAACGCAGACTGCCCGGAAAACGTCTTCATGCTTGAGAACACACCGCATGATTGGTTGTTTCCCAAGTGCAGTGCGGTTATCCATCATGGCGGCGCTGGTACAACCGCTATTGGCCTCAAGTGCGCTATACCGACAATGATTGTGCCCTTCTTTGGCGATCAGCCATTCTGGGGTGCGATGGTTAGTAAGGCAAAAGCTGGAGCGCACGATTGTATACCCTACAAGAAACTCAACGCAGAAAGACTAGCAGAGGGCATCAAGCAATGTCTGACTGAAGAAGCCAAAGAGAACGTGAAGAAGATCGCAGACAGCATTGCGAAGGAAGGCGATGGAGCGCTCAACGCCGTGCGCTCCTTCCACAGGTCATTACCCCTTACCGGCGCAGGCAGCATGCGTTGCGATTTCCTCGACAACCGTGCGGCAGTATGGAAGATCAAGAATACTGAGGTCAAGCTGTCCGCACTCGCTGCCGAGATCCTGGTAGAGAAGAAGAAGCTCAAGTGGAGCGAGTTGCGACTCATACGACACTACGAGTGGAACGACTTTGGTGGCCCAGGCGAGCCAATCACTGGTGTCTGGGGCAGCCTGATGTCGTCATTCTCTGATGCGGCTGCCGGTGTAGGAGGCATGCCTGTCGAGATGGGGAAAAGCATCAGGAAACGGGAGCAGATTAAGGAAAAGAAGCGCAAGCACCATCAACGCCACGAGCACAAAAAGGCAACACTAGCCAAAGCAAACGCCGACAGTGCAAATGCAGCCGAAGATACGACGCACAACAAGAGTGAACAAGACGGATCCAGGCCACAAGCAAATCGCAACGAATCATCAATTTCGAAGATCACGGAACCAGACGAAGAGCTGGCTGAGGAGCTCGGTCGCGAAGCTGCCTTTGGGTTCAGGAAGACAGGTCACGCTATCGCTCGATTCCCTATGGACTTGACGCTTGCCATCACTCAAGGCTTTCATAACGCTCCCCGTCTCTACGGAGATGAGACTGTACGCAGACCACCCCGAGTCACTGGTTTCCACTCAGGCACGCGCGCCGGTCGCGACGAGTTCCTTTACGGCGTAAGAGATGGCGTTTCGGGCCTTGTCACTCAGCCCTACAATGGCGCGAAACAGAACGGTGTTATAGGCGCAGTCCGAGGCGTGGGCTTCGGTATTGGCGGCTTCGTGCTCAAGGATATCGCGGCTCTTCTTGGCCCTTTGGCATACACGATGAAGGGGCTTGATGCAGAATACATGAAGCGGTACCAGCCTACAAACTACCTCCGCCGTGCACGCATTGCTGAGGGGCAGAAGGAGCTGACGATGTTGGAGTCAAAAGCTCACATTACGGCTATCAAGGAAGCTCAAAATGGAGCCAAGCGACCTTCCGAGAAGAAGGAATCCGTAGAAGAGAATGTGGTCATCCGATGGAAGGCTCTACAAAAAACGATCGCCGACGAGAAGAAACAACACAAGAACGGAATTGTGGGCTCTCTCACCGGTCGAGGGGATCATAAAGAAGGCCAACGAGTTGGACGCAAGTCTACTGAGGTCGCCAAGAAGGATGCCAGGCGATCGCAGTCCAAAGGAAGGCCAAATATCCATACGCCCAACGACAAGCCCGGCGGAGGTCTTCCAGAAGATCAATCCAAGGTGATGGACCCCGGAAAAGCGCGAAGAAGCGTTGACGGTAACGCAAGAGGTGGAGGAATGCACCGGATGAGCACCGCTCCAACCACCACTTTGGAGCATGGCGAACACCTCGAAAGAGAAGAGCTACAGCTTCCTCCAAGACATCTGGCGACTGGCGATGCTGCGTTGAAAGAGCATGATACCAACTCGCTTGGCTCAGCACATCTAGGTGATGACGCAAAGAACAAGTCTGATCCTGAGCTTGCTAGCCCTATCACCGAGGCTAACAACTTGGGACCTGTAGATACGAAGGGTGGATTGGATGTTGCGGATCGTCCTTCCGCAGATGGCTCCGATGAGACGAGGGTCGATAGCGATCTTACCGATTGGGCTGCCGTAAGGCAGAAGACTGATGGTTTGGCACCGGCCAATGAGCCTCCTAGGGTGGTTGGTGTGTAGAGACATGGCGGCTTTGCATCACATTACATGTAGCGTGGCGTTGTTAGTCATTGTCGTCTTTCAGTACTGGTCCATCACCCATATTTTTCCTTTCCTTTCCATTCCATTAGTTAGTTTTACATTAGAGGTTCTAATAACTGAGATACCCATACTTGTACACTAGAAGCCTGATTACATGAAACTCACAGCGCTCTCTCTTCTACCCTTTCAAAAGCCGCATACTCAGGTAGCTTGAAGCCATCATCCCTACTCTCCGTATCCCCAAGCCACGGACCGACCCACTCCCATCTCAGAACCATCGACACCAGCCTCACGAAGCCGTGCAAGACCGTCCTTTTCCAAGCCGAACCTGGATGCATGAACCCCGGTACAAAAGGCGACATGACCTGACTCTGCACCACAAACGGTCGAAACTTGTCCTCGTAGCTGGTAAGCGCTCCAGTAAGACCGTCAAACGTCGTAGAAGAAGAAAAGTCCTCCACACAACTCAGCTCACCCGCCAAAACATACGCCCCCAGCACCGCAAGCGACGTCCCCATACCCGTACAAGGACTAGGACAAAACGCGGCATCACCCAGACATATCACACGATCGCGACTCCACCGTTTCATCTTGACCTGATTGATAGCGTGGAAGTAGAAGTCTGGCGCCTGAACCATGGCATCAAGCAGTCTCTTGCTAACCCACCCTGCATCTGCAAATCCCTCGCGAACAAGCTTTTCCTGAGCCATCCTCCCAGCCCTACCCGCTTTCTCCCAGGCGAGTTCCTGGGCAGGAGTTGACGGCATGAAGGTAAACATCGCACGGGTTGTACCGTGGGGATCTGGTCGCGTGGCAACGGTACGTGAACCTTTTGCGACGAAGATGTCCCACCAGGGTGCGTCGGAAGGGAGGCGGGGGGTGGTGAAGTATGCGGCGTACATGCCTTTGTGTTCGATGGATACGTCCTGGGCTGGGAAGACCAGACTGCGTGTTTTGGACCATTGACCGTCTGCTGCGATGAGTAGGTCATAGGTGCGTGTTGTGCCATCGCTAAGGAGGACTTTGACGCATGCAGAGTCGTTTTGGAGGATTTGCGCGACTGTTGTGTTGAAGAGGTAGGTTACGTTGGACTGGGAATTTGTTGCTTGGTGTAGTAGTTTTGCGAGGTCGCCGCGTAAGATTTCGTATTCTGATGTTGGACTTGCTGAGCCGCCTTCTTTGATGGGGAAGGGGGCAAAGGGAGTTCCTTGCGAGTCGATGAATCGAGTGCCGAGTTCTTTGGTGTTGCATTGCTGGACTTGTGGCAGTAGGCCCATCTTTTTGATGCAGGTTACGGCGCTACCTTGGATGTCGACATTCTGGCCGTGGGGCTGGAGGGAGGCGGCCTTTTCTAGGATGGTGATGGTGTGCTTGGGGTTGAGGGAGAGCCAGTAGGCTAGGGCTGGGCCAGCGATGCCTGAGCCGACGATCAAGATATCCATGGTAGACAATGATGTTGTTTAGTTGAGCTGGAATTTGGGGGCTGTCCTAATAAGCTCGGTGTTTGATATCTTGTCATGGTTGCGAGGTTGATCATCGTTATATATAGGATAGAACGAAAGCAATCGTTATGGTTGAAGGCGCGGGATCGGGCGCATTGAAGCATGTGCTGAGGTTTCGGGGTTGGGGTGCTTCGGGCTTCGTGCATTCGGGCGACGGCTCGGGGGTAATGGACTGCGCACTATTCCCGATGTGGTGTCACGCATCTACCATCATCCCGCATCGCCACTTCTTCAACTCTTGTCATCTTCTTTCGCATCTTGTGCTCACTCCAATGGCATGTAACGAGACAATAGCGACACCTGCCGTTACCTTCATTCAGCGCAGCTGACTTCCACAATGGCAACCACAAGCCTACCCACAAGCGGCCACAAAAGACCCACTTTCTCCTGCATCCGATGCGCTGAACGGAAGGTCAAGTGCGACAGGCAGAGGCCATGTGCTGGTTGTGTCAAGAGCAATGTCGAATGCATCTTCAACCCCGTGCAACCGCCGAAACAGAGAAACAAGCGCGTCAAAGTCAAAGTACTGACTGATCGGTTGAAACAGTATGAGGCTCTCCTTCAGGAAAAGGGTATCGAACCCGCGAACATTCCGAATCAGACGGATAGTAGGCCGCAGTCGCAACCCTTGATGCACGGCGCGCCCGATCAACAAGAGCAGCATGTCGTTCAATTGCAGACGCCTTCGTCTCCTGAGTCTGACTCGTCGCCGTATGACCTTCAGACTTCGACTGTTCGTGGCCAGGCACCTTTTCGATTTGTGGAGAACAGTCTGTGGGACAGAGTGGTTGAAGAAGTGAGTGGAACACCTATGCCATACGTTGTTACGGTAATCTCATCATCACGCCGATGCTAACGAGTGTTTAGTCTCTCGACCCTAACAACGATTTAGAAGACTCAAGCGATATCAGCGAGGAGGAGTCGACAACGGGCAACTCCGGTTTTGCTGTTATCAGGTCCTCCCATCGCAGCGGCAAGCCTCGTCATCCACCGCTCGAGCGCCTTATTCAGCTTTGGGAGATCTTCGTCAGTAACGTGGATCCGTTGACTAAGGTGGTACATGTACCCAGTCTACGGCCTATGATTGAAAAAGCTGCCAAAAATCTTGGGCTCATACCGCGGCCGCTCGAAGCTCTCATGTTTGCTATATATGGCTCCGCTATCATGTCATCGAGCCAAGAGGAGTGTGAGCAACGTTTCGCCAAATCGCGCGACCAACTACTTTCTCAGTACATCTCGGGGACAGAAGCGGCATTGTCTAGAGCAAGAGTGATGGAGACTTCCAATCTTGTTGTTCTACAGGCATTAGTGATACATCTCGTCACAATACGTGAGATCTATGCGCCACGCGCGACCTGGACGCTTACCGGCGTAGCTGTTCGCATCGCTCAAAGCATGGGTCTTGAGCGCGATGGTAAATATCTAGGATTATCTCCCTTCGAGACCGAGATACGCCGCCGTATCTGGTTTCAGTTGAAAGCTCATGACTCTCGAGCAGCGGAGTTGTGTGGTCTCGCGAAGTACCGAGATCCTGACATCGGCCCTGAGCGAGCTGAATGGCCTACCAACCTCAACGACGATCAGCTGTATCCTGGTATGTCTGAGCTACCCTCAGACTCCAATGGACTAACGGATGTTATCTTCGTTGTAACAAGATGTGAAATGGGAAAGTTCGCTGCGCCACGCATTGCAGCATTGCGCCAAGAAGGAATGGACCCCAGGCAGATGAACCTTGACCATTCGGCAAAGAGCAAGACCGCCCGTGAAAGCTTAATCCAAGAGCTTGAGGATACTATCGAAACGAAACATCTTCGCTACTGTGACCCATCTCAGCCTTTACATCTTGTTGCAATGGTTGTGGCTCGGTATGGTCTCAATGTAGCCCGCTTTTTGATACATCATCCACGAAACTGGGGTACATTGGAGAAAACACCTCTCGAGGAGCGCAAGAAGATTTGGGAAGTCTGTCTCAAGCTTCTCGAGCAACAGATCATGTTGCAGACCAACCCCGTCATTAAGCGCTTTGCGTGGAGCGCGTCCTACTTTCGGCAGTGGCACGCCTTAATTCATCTGCTAGATACTCTTCGCGCTCATCCCAACCTGATCGACACTGATCGAGCTTGGCGACTCATCGGGGAAACGTACGACAATAATCCGGAGATGCTTGAGGACATGAGAAGGCCTATTCATGCAGCTGTTGGCAACCTATGCTTGAAGGCCTATGACGATCATGAGGCACTGATGCGCTCGAAATATGACCGTTCTCATTCGCCACCTGGGTTCATAGCACGTCTACGACACCAACGCGATAGCGCCAGGTTGCGACGCCAGAAACGCACTGCAAACGGCGGTCATGCCGCTGCATCTACTGATCAAACCCGGGCTGACATATACCGCATCGATGGCGAAGCATTAGCTGATAACTGGAATGCGTTGATGGAATCAACTCAGGCTTCTTTTCAGGCATCGTTCGGACCGACGCAAGACACTGTATTTGACAGCACTCATTCTTTCACCTTCTCCAACCATGCGGACGGCACATTTTTCGACAGCATGGATTTGGACGGTGCGCATGATTTTTTGGCTACCGACTACATCATGGACGATTCATCACTAGAGTTCATAGACTGGGGCAAGTTGGATAGTTGGCTTGCTCATGCTTCCTGACGGAGTTATACAATTTATCTAGCACTGCGTTCTAGCGGGAAGGGAAGAGTGCCGCTCGGCTTCCTAGGATGTTGGAGCACATACGCATATACAAAGAGAATAGCTTTCGCTCAATGAGCCCCCATCAGCCAGCCTGATTACAACACACAATTAATGGCAGCTGCAGCTATCCCCGCGCCCACAACTGCTATTATCTTCGCGCTCTCCACTCTGCCACTCGCACTGTTCGGTAACCCGGTCTTGGCTGTCGCTGGAGCTTGGGTCGGGGTAGCAATCGACGCGATAGAAGTCGTTTGCACAGAGCCGCCTCTTGATTGCGCAGTCGTCGGAGTTTCATCGATCTCACGCGCCTCGGCGTAGCATCCCGCGAACGCAATAGTGTTGTTCAGCCAGACTTCGCCGTACAGGGCCTCGCGCATTTCACTGATCCAAGTATTGGGGCAGCTTTGAACGACTTCGACGGCTCGCGAGCTATGCGCAGCCCACCAGGAAGATGCTACACTAGCATAGGAAGAGTAGGCCGGAAGGACTTCTTGAGGAGCAGCGGTAGTGAATGCGCACCAACTAGTCCGTTCCGGAAAGGGACAGGTTGGTACAACCGTGGCCGAAGGCGTGATAGTGAGTGTGCAGTCCTCGATAAGTTTGTCTCCGTAGATTAGAAGCTCATCCAGAAGAGCTCCAGTTGGCTTCGGCATGTCGAAATATTGCGCGATGCTTTCGGTCGCGCAGTACCAAGGATCTCGGGTGGTCGTTGGCTCCGCGATGGGCATGAGCGTCAGCTGGACTGCGGGCGCTGTAACGGCAGCTTTGATTGGAGGAGTGCCCGTGACAAGAGCCATTTCAAGCAATATATCGCTGAGGGTTGATATGCTAAAGTAAGGTTATTCGTCAAGTGGTGTTACAACGCAGAGACTTTAGACATATAACTCCGTTAAATTGTCAGGGTAAGTACTACATTGATCAATAGGGGTTTCACGCCATGACCAAGTGCAGCTGTGCCACACACAACTCGATCAGGCTGAATGAAAGCAGGGCATTCTGCCAGGGTGGTTTGTTGCATGCCATCGCTTTTGGATGACCTTGGTAGCTTGAAATGATTCGTTCCTGCGTGAGGCCCGCTATCTATTGATAAAGCTCGACAGTCCTGCTCAGGGCTACAAGGCGGCCACACAGCCCTTTTGATAGTAGTAGCGTACTTTCTACTGACTGTAGTCAGGATAGTGCTGCTGCAGAGCGACTTCCACCGCGGCGAGACATTCAGTCTTTCGATAGCGGGCTAGATCCGGCCAACCGTGCTCGCGATAGATCTTCTGCAGCATGGCCACAACCCCCTCGTTTTTATACGCTAGCGTCGCATAGATATCGATTACGGACTTCGGACCGATGGGAATGAAAGAGAGTTGTCGAAATTGGTCTTTGAGCTCGTCGAAGAAATCAGCAACAGCCCAGCAGCCCGATTCAGCCCGCCACTGAGCCTCATTTTCCGGCGCGTAGTCGTAAGGATCTTCTTGAATGGATTCGCGCGATGGGTTATTCGTGATCTCGTTGGGGCATTCGATCCAGTAGACGGCACCCAGCTCTGTATCGAGCAGGAAGTTCGCATTGTCTCTTCCACCCGTTGTTAAACCGATGACGTGGGCCGGTACTTCGTCAGTGATGCATGCGCCTTCAGAGCAAAGCTTGAGTGTTTCCGCGGTGCTGGTACCCTGAGATACGTGCTCTAAGTCGCCCTGCCAGTCGGAGAAGACACACCATGGGGCTCCTTGGGGGTTTTCGAAGCTGCTTCCGGATCGTCCACGGATGTACGGGAGATGTTTGAGGAGGGCTGTTACTTCGTCCGTCTTGTGGAGATCCCGCATGGAGTCGGGAGTGACAGAGGGCCAGCCTCCTTTGGGTGGCTCAACAACGACGCTTTCTTCCATATACATGCGAGTAAGAAAGTGGTAGTAATCGCGGACCGCGGCGATGCACGCCTCGCGCGAATAGCTGATATCTTCGAGCATCGGCATGATAATGGCGCGAGGAGGATACTGTTTAGAATCGTGTTGAAGAGATTTGTGATTTAAATCATAGCTCGTTTACCCGACTAGCCATACATGATCTTAACTCTGTACCACCAACATGTTGGTACTAAACACCCGACGGTCCTATATTAAAGCGTTCCTACGATCTGCAGCTGTGCCGCATCACTGCTTAAGTCCGGTGAGTACGAGAGGATTGCGTAGCGGTTGTTCCCAAGATGTGGATGTGTTCCAACAAGTGCGGAAGTCAAGCGTTTTCTGTATCTACTTGACAGCAATATGTTGTGAAGTAAGCCTCAAAAATTCGACCAGACCGCGATGGCAAGATTTCTCTCCTTTGGGTCAGCGCACGGGGCACCCCGACGATGGTACGTGGGTTAGCGAACCCCTTACTGAGGACGATGCCTCACCCATTGACAACACGAATACCTATTATCGCAACCAGTACGACTGCTCGCTAGCATGTGCAGCCTACGCAAACACGCACAGCTGGATCACGTACTTTTCCGTGCACCGTATCGAGCGGTGCGAGAAGATTATGCTGCTTGAGTTGTGTTTTAACCGTACTTGACGACCCTCAGACGACGACGCTGATCCGCGACTGCACAACAGGCTGAGGAGGCAATGAACCAGAACCCATGATCGCAGACGCCCTTCCGGAGAATCAAAAGAAGGCGGAAGACCCTTTTCGAGCGAGCCTCGAGTCTGCGCCAGCACGCGTGGATGGCGCAGAAAATTCACGCGACATACAACTGACGACTCGCGGTAGCGGAAAGCGACTTTCAGGCGACGTTGTGGCGTTGCTCAAAGGCAAGAGGTCGTATTTTGCGGCGCGCAACAATTGCGACGAGAAGTTGTTTGCGCGTCACCAAGATCTAGCTGTCGGCGGCCAGAGACGACTCAGTACTTGGAGATGAGAGCTGCGGATCTACCTAGGTATGCTGTTTCCGTACTAGCGCTCTTCGCCTCGGGACCGAACCCAATCCGTCGGCTTGCTTGGGAACCCGTTTACTTCGGAAATCGATGTCGCAATGATGAATTATAATGCCGCCGGCTCGTACGAAGCCCGTTCGATTCCAGAGTTGCTGTCGCGATGATCAATCACACATTGGGCAGACAGACGCACAATCTGACTTCTTGGGCTCAGAGTGAACCAGAAACGATATCAGCAGATGGACTGTACTGTGGTGGTTTAACGCCATCTCGTTGACGTCTCGGCACTAACTTAGCACCAGCACTAATCTCTTGTGAGCCTTCCTTAGCAGAGCTTGTACTTAAAGTCGAATGAACCTTAGCTACCATATGGATCTGCTTGCTGTGCGCTTGCGGGCGGGACTGTTTTCGGTTGTCAGACGGTTCAGGTCGGAAGCGCGCAAGGCTGACCAGATTGTGCTCACCTCAGCTCTGTGATCTCACTAACACAATGCATAGACTTCCCAGACAGTTGTACGAGGCGGAGTTCTCGGCTTCTTTGTTCAACTCGGCTCTCACGGTTTTGATAACTGCGATGTGTTGAGTTTCGGACCTATTCGATCAGCATAAAACCATCGACTCAGCCACTTGGAATGAGAACCAACACATTCATACATCTCGGATCTACACTCCTCTTCATCTTTTTTCTATGTCAAAGATGCGTTATCAACTTTGTCTCTTGCTCTGCGCCAGTAGTTCTGCTCACGGAGCAGTCCTCTCACCCTGGCGCCGGGACATGTCGCCCTTCTCGATTGGCACCAGCTCCAGTTCCAGTACGCGTGCATCTGCGCTTGCAGAGAAGCGAGCTGGCTGGCAATACGGTCCCTCAATCGCCGGCAACACGGCATTCTATCCAGCTGGCAGTATCGGTGGACCAGTTGCGAAGGCGCAAGGGGACCGCTTCGAAATCTTTTCTGACAAATTGAGCACTAAGAATGATGAGGATGCTAAGGCTGCCCAAGCATTCATTGTGGCAGTAAGTACATCTGAAAGACTGATTCCGGAGATCTATGCTTAACATACCTCAGGCTGGCGGCTTGAACACTTTGGATGACTATGCGAAGCTGTATGACGGCCTGTGGAAAGAAAGCGCGCCCAAAGGTCCATACCCAGGACTATTGACTAATTACACGGAAGACCTACTCTTTTCAATGACTCAGCTCTCAGACAACCCGTACAAGATCGTGCGAGTGTCAAAGGACGCAAAGCTTCTCTTTTCCGTCTCCAACGCCGACGCGATATCGGGCCAGACACTGGAAGCCCTCCAATCCTCTGGCCGTCTCTTTCTTGCCGATTATCTGGACCAAAAGTATCAGCCACAGACCGCTGGCAAATACGGGGCTGCCTGCCAAGCGTACTTTTACATCGACCCCAAGTCCCAGAACTTCCTGCCGCTCGCCATCAAATCGAATGTAGAAGGTTCTGACCTCGTCTATACCCCTCACGACTCGCCTAACGATTGGCTGCTGGCCAAGATGATGTTCAATCTCAACAGCTTGTGGTACGCGCAATGGTATCATCTCGGAGCCACGCACGCGGTGAGTGAGATTGTGTACCTGAGCGCCATCCGGACGTTGAGTGAGGAACATCCTGTCATGGCCATACTGCATCGATGTAAGCTTCAACTCCCCTTCCACGATTGTGACTCCCAACTCATAATGGCAATGTAGTGATGAAGGATGCTTGGGCGTTTCGCGTCATCGGCCGCGACAGCCTGATAAACCCCGGTGGCCCCATCGACCAACTCTTCCCATGGTCCGGCAGTGAAGCCGGTAACTACACCGATTCACTGTATCATTCAGGCGAATCCAGCGCTTTCCAGGCGAACTACTTCGAAACCAATTTGAAAAGGCGAGGCCTGATTGACTCTAGCTTCGGTCCCGAGATCAAAGCGTTTCCTTTCTACCGAGATGCATCCGTTGTCCATACTGCCATTCGCCGGTTCATGACTACCTTCGTGGAATCGTTTTACAAGGATGCAAGCGCCATCGTAAACGACAATGAGCTCCAGGAATGGATCCACGAAGCAGTACCAGCTCAGATAGTAGACTTTCCATCGACTCTAAAGGACAAGCAAACTCTCATCGACATCCTCACCCATATGGCCCACCTGGTATCAGTAGTTCACGGCACGCTCAACACAAACGCTCTCGCCGCCTCAACCGGTGTTCTTCCTTTCCACACACTCGCTTTCTACTCGCCATTGCCAACTGCGAAAGGTGTCACCGACATCATGCCCTTCATGCCACAAGTTGAAGCTGCTATTGGCCAAATTAGCTTGGTCGTAGATTTCAACCGGCCTACGTTCGTCAACAGCGGGGAAACGGTATCGCACATGTTCGACAATTCAACTATGCTAGCCAGGATGGGTAAAGAAGTGGAGGAAGCGGAGCAAGATTTTCGATTCGCGATGAAGAATTTTAGTGCGGTAATTAGAGGCAGGAGGTTTGGGGAGGACGGCCTGTGCGGAGACATGCCTTATTGTTGGACTACTCTAGATCCGGATACAGCTAGCTATTGGCTGACTATCTAGAGAACTAGTGTCGCAGAGCAGAGCTTACCTAGGTAGATAGAACAGGTGTTTGGCGGCTCTCTCTCACACGCGCACACACATTTCCCTATGTATATCTACATCCACTACGTACGAATTGATGCTCGGATTCTTGACTTCCTACGCGGTTATATGCTGAATCCACCTGCCCATCCACTTCTCATTGACCCGCTTCGCCTCATCCACCAAACCCAACTCAAGCAACAGCTGCACAGAACCCCTAACAGCTGAATGCAGCGACGAACTGACCCAAGCATGCGTTGGTGCAGTGTGCTCTCCAATGAAGATAGTGTTGTGCTCTGTCTGGTGATATGCCGGGATATACAGCTTATGCTGCATCACATCCGGACGACACCAAGCAGTCCCCGTATGCTCGTCCTGCAACCAACACAGCTTCTCGTAGTCGCCCGTATACAACTCTCTCGCTTGCTCTCCATGCACACTGACAACAGCATCCAACACAGTCTGCACATACTCTTCGTCTGAGAAGCTCGTGAACTCGTCACTCCAATGGCCTCCTCGGTAGTGCAGGATCAAGCCTGGGCGAGACTCGTTGAGGCCGTAGACGGGGTAGTAAAGAGCGCCGACGGCTGCACTGGGTGGTGTAGAGTATCCGCCGAAGATGGGACGGTCGCCCTTCTCCCAGAAACGTTCTTTGAAGAGCAGCGCCACTTTGCAGGCGGATTTGAAGCGGAGGCCAGCTTCGCTGATCGCGCGACCGAGTACGGAGGAGAATTTCGGAAGCGACATGAAGCGTGTCATGGTGAATGGCACTGCCATGATTGTGTATTCGTACTCTTTCGACTCATATGTTCGGTTACTGACGCTGGGATACCACGACAGTTTCGTGCGTGTGCGACCTTCGGCATTTTCAACAGCCTCCAGTTTTCTGATCTTACGGTTGAGGGTGAGACGGTCGCTGACATGAGGAAGGAACGCATCGGACAGTCTATTGAAGCCGCCGTCTACACACCTCCACTCAGTCATGCCCAATGCATCCGGTCCGCCATCTTGCGCAAGGTTGGAGTTGTGCACCAACTCATCCCAGAAGACGTCGTAGTCGCTCGCTGTCCAGATGGCGTCTGTGACGGTTTCGCTTGCGCCAAAGACGTGGCGCATCATGGCCTGCTCGCTCCAGTCGTCAAGACCTTGATCCATGGCTTTTTTGTGTTCGCGCCACACGTCGCGTTGCACGGCCTTGAGTCTGTCCTTCGACTTTAGAAGCTCGTTCATGCGCTGCTTGGTTTCAGTGTACTCCTGCGTGTCCAGTGGTGCTGGTCGCCCAAGAGACGAGTTTGCTTGGATCTCCGCTCTCGTCGGAAGTTGTCCATTTGGAAGTCTGCCAGTTCCTAGGCCGAGGAGCTCATTGGGATGATGCTGAACCCATGGGATGAAGTCGACTTTGTAATGAGGATCGTTTGCGTTCATCTCATTGAGCATCTCGGCCAACTGGAATACCATTTGATGGTCGCTGTATTCGATCGTCTCTCCATCCTTGTATGTAATCGAGTGAGGAAGGCGCATTGGACCCATCTCCGCCCATTCTTGCGTTCCACCAACGTACTTGGTTCGGAACCGTCCTCCGACTCGGTCACTTGCCTCGATGATCTCCCAGTTGTGCACACCAACGCTGTCAAGCATCAGGGCCGTAGCGAGACCAGAGATTCCGGCGCCGACTATCGCGATGGTCGCATTCTTCTTAGATGAGGCAGAGGTGGTTGTGTTGATCGCCGCGACACCGTCAAACCATGCTCCAAGAGCGTCGAAGTCTTGCAGCAATGGTTTGGTGCGGCTGATGTCCCTAGTCTCTGTGGATGGTCTGGGACTCGAAATGGGGTTGCTGATCACCAGCCCTATAGAAGCTAATGTAATGATTAGAGACCTCAACACCCTCGCCGCTGGATACACCATGTTGGTTAACACTTTCGACTTGGGGAGCTCAAAACTGAAGGATGAACAAGCCGTGTTTGGAACGCCTTGATCGTTTAAGCTTAATATAAGACACCAATTACCCGCGAACCATGATGGCCAACCACCATGCACCTCCACTTGGCGAATGGACACACCGCGCATCTTGACTGAAAACAGCAATCCAAAATGTACTATCAGCATTAGAGTGCCATCACGGTAGGCAGAGGACTGTGTCGCATTCCAGCACTTGCAAAAATATCCTGATCAAGCGAAGCTGGGCGGTCATACTCAGCGACCCGAACGCGCACCCCGAAAAGCTTTCAACATGTTGTATACAGCAGCGTCTTTTGTCTTCCACTCTTGATCACGCGCTGCACCTTCGTAGTCGCCAAATCTGTACGTCATCTCCTCGTTCTGTTTAGTCGCCTCTTGGTTCTTGTTGATGTTTCTCGGCGGTACTTCGTACCGAGTTGGGGTGAGGACGTGGACTTGCAGAGAGGCGCTTCCCACATCGCGGATGAATTGTGCTGTTGGCTGTCAGATCCTGTTTATGCATGTGACAGTCGATTTGATGAGGACCGGTGCGTGCAAGAAGAAGAGCAGTCTTACTCCATGGGATACCCAACTCTTCGGCCTCATTTCGGGCTTTGATCCGTGCGATGCAGCGCTCTTGTATCTCCCATTCTTCGAGGGTGTGGGCGATTATATTCCCCGCCGCAGTCTTTGTGAGGTCTTCGAGAGATGGCGAGTGCAGACGCTGCGTTACAGCTCGGGAGATGAGTTGTCGGTATTGTACTGCTTCCTGAACGTTGTTTGTCTTGGCTTTGCGAGCTCTCGTATGTACGTCGGTGGTGATGTATGAGGGTCTAGCTGAGCTCAGTTCTAGTGATCTGGTCGCCATGGCGCAACGAATGTATGGACGACCGTCAAGTAAGGACATGGGGTCGTACAGAGAGAGGGTGAGCATATAGCTGCTGGTGTCAAAACATTGGCGTTTGTGGTATGATGAACTAGACGCGCCGTGTGCTCATTATTCAATGATGCGATTGCACCATCGTATGACTGAGTATCGGGGTAGCTAGTACTTTCTCAGTTTCTTCACCATCCTCCTCTTCACGTATAGGCAGCACCCGCTTCTTATTTACATCGTCGTCTTATTTAAAGACCATCCCGTCCAGTATTTACAGCATCCTTAAGACCCTACAAGCTCAGCCCATCAGCCAGCACCGCACCGTACCAAATCATGGCTCCCAACCCCACCATGTTGACCAAGCTGCTGACACCATGCAAAATGCCGAACTGCTTGTTCAGAGCCTGCATCTCCTTACTATGTGGCCCAGCATCATAGCTCTTCTTCCCATCCCTCGTCTCCTGATGTTTCCTCAGACCCATGACCTCCGTTGTCTTGGGTCCAACGTAGACCCAGTTGACCAGCGCAGTGAGAAACATTGTGGTGTGCAGCCAGGAGCTCAGGTTATCGGTTGCTGTCGGCGGGATGGGCGAGGAAGAGAGGAATGGTAGCAAGGACGATGCTCCACCGCGTGGGTACGTGAGCAGCATGACGACGGGAGTGAGGGTTTGTAGCGTGAAGTAGACGGGGAAGGTGTGCTTCTGGAGCGTGGAGAATTGAGGACGAGGGAGGACGCGGAAGGCTACGATGCCTGAGACGAAGGACTGGAAGAGCGTGGAGCCCAGGAGGGTGCCATAGCTGTGCTTGTGTTAGAGGATCTTGAGCGTCGAGAGCTAATAAAGTAGCTTCGTACCTGAGCAGATGGTATGTCGCCGGGTTCTTGAATGAGGAGAATGACATGTTGGTGATTGTGGCTTGTCAGTCAGTCGATCGTGTTGTCAATGAAGAGGAGGGTAGGAGTGAGCAGGAAACTCGGCGTTTCAGAGCGCCACGAGCAGCAGCCTCGGCAAATGATGATCTCACGACATGTCGGAGCCATGCGGTGACCCTGCATGCTACCCGCGCGCTATCCCATCTACAGCCTCGCGCGTCTGCCCCGCTAAAGATTTCGCGAGCCCCTCCATTGCGCATCATGGCGTCGTGCGACAATCCTTCAGCCCGCCTAAGAAAGGATCCCAGCCCGCGCCCGACCAAATCTCCGTACACCGACCCTCACGATGCTACTTCCTTCGCTGATCAACCTCCGCCGCCCAGCCAACACGCCCCTCGAGCCTGAAGACATCTTTGGGTCCTCCCTCGGCGGCATCTTCACCGACGATACACAGAACCAGCATGGCGACGATCCGAGCACCGTCATTCTGTATCGCAACGCCAAGTTCGGAGAGCAGGAGATCAGGGTCGCGGATGTGAACGGCGAAGAAGAAAGAAGAAAGTTCGCGCACTACCTATGGAATGCCGGCGTCATGATGGCAGAACTGGTCAGCGGACGAGTGGAGGGTGGCGATCTAGGCGCCAGTGGGAAAGGTCTACACGAAGATGAGGAGGGCTGGAGAGACGGCAAATGGTGGACAGACAAGGAGGAAGAGAAAAAATGGAGCGTGGAAGGCGAGACGGTGTTGGAGTTGGGTGCAGGTGGGTCGGGCTGAGTAAAGAGAGGTGCAGAAGAGAGTACTGATGGACTATTTGCTCGCAGGCGTAGGACTGGGCGGGATTCTGAGTACATTGGCGGGCGCGAAAGAAGTACGTCCATGCTCAGACTCGATTCTGCACAGGCTCCAACTGACAATCCGCTAGGTTGCCATCACCGACTACCCTGCCGCTCCTATCCTCGATACCCTCAGAACGAACGTCGCTAAAAACGTCCCCACGCATCTCAAGCCCAATGCGACCGTCGAAGGTCATCAATGGGGCTCTATAAGCACACCCTTCGAGATCTCGCACGCGAACCGCTACACGCGCATTCTCGCTGCAGATTGTCTCTGGATGCCGTGGGAGCACGAGAGCCTGGCCAAGTCCATGCTGCACTTCCTATCCGACGACCCATCCGCACGTATATATTGTATCGCAGGCTTCCATACAGGACGCGCCAAAGTCGCACCCTTCTTCGAGGAAGTGATACTGGAGCAAGGGCTCGAGATCGAGGAGATATACGAGATGGACGTCAACGGACAGCGGCGGTCGTGGGCGAAAGAGCGCGATGGCGGCACAGAGAACATGGGCGAGCGGAAGAAGTGGCTCGTCCTCGCCCGGATACGGCGGGCTGTTCGATAGCGTAGTCGTAGTAGTTCCTTCTCTCAGCAGACGAAGCGCTGAATCACACCCTCTTGAAGCACAGCGTAACAACACTGCTGCCCGTCTTGCCTCCAAACGTGAAGCTGGGGTACTTGACCTTGCCCTCAAACTCCAGCTCTCCGCCTCCAAACCAGCCCTTGAGCTCTTCTTCGGTCCAATTGCAGCTCGTGATGAGGAACCTGCCGCCCTTCTTCATGAGAGGCTCAACCTTTTCCCTGTATCCTTCGCATATCCTACGACCTTGCGCGTCTTCTTCTTGCGACAAGCAGATAGCATCGAATGTACCCTTGTCCAGTACGACATCGAAGCCAGCGCCTAGCCACGCGCCTGGTGCCTGCGACAGAATATCCCACTCGTGGAACGCGATGTCCTTGTAAGAGTCATCCTTCGCGTCGCGAATCGACGTGGCAAGCGTGACGCTCTGCGCAGAGTAGTCGACGCCGACCATCTCGCCATTCCACTCGTCCTCGCGCAGCGCAAACAGCAAATGCCCATTGCCTGTTCCCAGATCTAGGAACCGCGCCGCGTTATGGTCGTCCCCGTCGTCCTCTTTGTGTATGTGGCCCTCGTCGCTGAGGTCTTCAAGGAAAGACAACATGCGCTCCTCGGCGCCCGCGTCGCTGAACCATATCGTGCCTTCGTCGTCGGCGTTTGCGGCAAAGTTTTGGCGTTCGGTGTTGTAGGCGGCGTCCCAGTAGGATTTGGTGCCCAGTTCGCTGGGGTCGAGGTGCGTGGGTGCGGTCATTGAGTGAGGGTTCGAGGAGGAAGGAGCGACCGCAGCGAGTGTAGAAGTGTAGGAGTGTAGGAGTGTAGGAGTGTAGGAGACGTGGGAGATGCGACGTCGTGGTAGAAAGTTGATTATGTTTTTGGAGGGGCAGATCTTTGGTTCCTGGCTAGACGCTCGCGCATTGCGCTGCAAGCGAGGCGGGCCGCCCTTGCAATGACACAGCATGTTAATTATCATATGCCAATGGAGGTCGTTTTAAGAAGAGTCGCATGGAATAGCTTGTATTCATTGGTTTCCCTGACAGAGCCTGTAATGATCGTTGTAGTTGCTCACGCGAACTACGTCACGCTACATTTGTAGTCCACTGTCCGCCGTCCAACGCTGCCCAGGTCTGCGAGTACCGTTACAACGGTCGGTCGCTGCTGCGAATGACCTCACCCTGGTAGACTGTCCGATAAACCTGACCGAAGCCTCGAGGGTCTATCTGATACCAAGCGTTAGATCGCTTCCAGAAATCCGTATCGATGCTCTTCACGATACCTAGGTAATCTCACTACGCCACTCATGACGCCATTGATCTAGTGTCCAGTCTCTTCGTTGGAAATAGAAGACATCCTCATCCCATAATTCACCCATATCTCCGGTGAATGTTATGTTGGTCGTGCCCTCGATTGTGCGGCGGATCGTGTCGGAGAAGCCGTCTGGCAGATGCCATGGTAAAGCCGTGGGACCATAGATGCGACCAGCTATGCTATCATATAGCCTAGACGTTGGATGCGTGTTGCGAACACGACATTGTTCGAGCATGGCTCCTTGCATGGCTGCAGCGTGCTTGATAACGTTCCACACTTCAAGAGCTTCTCGCGACGTACCATCGATGACGAGCTGGAACGAGCCTTCCGGCATGCCGTGAGTGCGGAGTAGTGGGGTCTCGGCGAACCATGGAACGGCAGCCTCCATGACATTGAAACTACCTATGCTGCTACGTCCTCCTCGGTAGCCATTAGGTTGATCTACAGGTAGAAGACTGTCCAACAGATTGATGTGTCTTTCAATCTTAAGGTTCGGGTTTGCTCTGCATATGGGGATGAGGCCTCTTGCGTGGCATACGGATCGCGGCCTAGACTTGAAGTCTTCGCAGATAATGAGCTTGCGCAGATTGTTTAAGCGCTTCTGAGGAATGTGACTGACTGCATGGATGTTAACAAAATTTCCCCGTTTCAGTACGAAAACAGATACATGACTGGTTCTTTCAGCCCGCAGCATGAAGGATGAACTTACGAAAGTCAATCGCTACCGCTGCGGCAGAGAAGTAATATTTGTTATTGCTCAGTTGGATAGGATTCGTCACATGGCACCATTCGTAGAGCAGTGTTCCATCTCCTTCTGGTTCACAGACAATTTTTTCCATTCTGGAAAGCTCACGATCTGTGGGGATTGACCTAAAGTATCGGTGCGTCAAATCAGTATACATCACACATACAATTCATATCCCAAGGTTCTTACCAGGGTTCCGGCCTCCATGAAAACACATCATGTAATGACCCCTCGACGAAAATATTGTTCTCGACGCTACCATGGAGATTTTCGATATGACACGTGTTGTTCCCAAACACTTGTCGTGTGAGCTGCACAAACTTTGTCGGATTTCGATTCTTCGCGATGTCCAGTATGAAGACTAGGGCGTCGATGAAGTCTTGGCTAGTGTGGTCGTCCAGGCTTATGGCCATATTACCGGAAAGCTTTTCCAGATTTTGCGCAACTGCTTCTTGCAGAGGCCTCCCAAAGGAATCTTCGATCACTGGGAACCGTGCCATAGCATTAGCAAAGTCTGACTCCTCGAGTAGCTCGGCAACGCAAATCAGCATGTATTGCCTCTGGGTTTGAACCATTTCGAACACTGATAAATGAGTCAGCCCTGCAATGTTATCTCATCGCCAAACGTAGCACTTACACTGAGAGAATCGCGCCACTCTAGACCGGAGTTGTTGGAATTCCGCGCCATCGTTCGCAGAGCAAAGCGTACTAAACTCGATGTTCTGGAAAGCGACATGCTTCATCTCGTCTGCAGCGATCTTGCAGGTCATCATAAGCCCGAGACCCTCCGCCTGAGCTGAAGCATCGGAGTAACGTAGCTTTGTCGTATTCTTGTCGTACACATACTGTGGTCGACCCTGGGCATAGTACTCGTAGATGGTATCCCGTATTTCTCGTGGAAGCCGAAAGAATGGCGACTGTGTCTGTCCGAGAATGTACTTTGTCTTCGGCATTGTCATGAAAGGGAACATGTTCCAGTGCGCAAAGTTGTTGGGGCCTCTCTTGTTGAAAGCCATCATGGGTGTATTGGGCCATCCAGACATTGACTGCGACTGCCCGGCATCTTATATGGTGAGGGCGCAGTTTCCGTCATACTGCCTCTGGCCTTTTGCCGATGACTCCCAAGAAGGATGCACCATGGTACCAAACTACCTAGGTATGGCTTGCTGGTCGTAAGCGGATTCATTAGCTGATCACCTGGGCACCATTCAGCCTCAGTGCAACGACTCATCGGCGACCGCAGGGTTGAGTGCATAGTATGAGTGACATGTCCATTAAGAGCAGAGCTGTAATTGTTGGGTGGTAGTGATTCTACGCGACGCGAACGAACAGATGGATGGTCGGTCTGGCGCGGACCGGTTGGCGCGAGCCTGGTGCCCAGCCTCCTCAGGAGCACGGAGCTCCACCACCCAGGCGAAACATCGAGGCTCACTCTTCCACAACCTCTTCAGCTATGACCTCACTCGCTTGTTGGGTCTGATTTTTCAAACGTTCCTAGGTAGACTCTTCGAAACTCCAGAGACTCACATTGCAAGCGCTCTTGCAGACCGCGCGCAATCTCAGCGATGGCTGTCGCCCGAACCCACCCTTGAACCTCGACGAAGACAAGAACGTTGTCCACGCATAATAAGCTCCGCACGCCATCCACATCCCTCGCCCTCCAGCATCGCGGCCTGCGTACAGCCGGTCGAAAACGCGCAACCCGATTACGGCGTACCCAAGCATTCATAGCATACCACCAACTCGGGCTCACGGCACGACACGCCCTTGACGGAGAGGAAGGCAGACCTATACATTGTGACAACGGGGCAAAGCAGCTTATAGTATAGCTTTCAGGAATATGGCTCGCGCTATAGTTCTCTTGCTTCCCGTAGAGGGATTTGTGATCTGAAGGTAACAGGTCTCAATCGATACCATATTTCAAATCCACGTTGGCAGCAGCGCAGCTAATACGACGACCCGCCTCCCCAATGACGTGCCATGACGGCCGTACTCCCCCTTCCCCATCAATCCACCGATATGCTGCCAGAAACGATTCCTACCGTCCAACCGATTCCGTCGACATACCGTTGCTCAATGCCTGTCCACACATCCTCCTGACCGTTGTTACTACTCTCTTGAAGCCCGCCGGCTCGATGCTGTATCTCGGATGTAAACGTCTCCAGAAGTCCGTGTTCAAGCTCAGACACAGCACAGTCACGTGCCATTGATGCTCCCAGGTTTCAGGGGTGAAGTGCTTGTAGTGCTTCAAGTTCAGAGTTGTGGCTTCAATCTCAACTGAGCTCATGCCCGACGTCAGCCGCATGATTGAGTTTCCTTCTGCGATACTCCGAACATTGGCCTCAAATGTTGATGGGAGGTTTAACAAGGTTTGATAGGGACTCAAACCTGTACCATTGTAGGGCCTGGGATGATTATGGGATGCGCGAAGCCATTTTTTAGAGACTTCTTGCAGGGCTCTTGCGCGCATGACGACCGCATTCCAGACCCAGTCGCCTTCCGCCACACTGTTGTCGAAGAACAGTGAGAAGCTCTCTTTCGGCATTCCAAGTGTGTGGAGTGAAGATACTGCTTGAATCCAGTGTTTCATTGCTTCCAGACATTCCGCGCCTTGGATAACATCACAGTCGTAGTATTCGCTTCGTCGGTCGTCTTGCCCGCCGGAATGTACCGGAAGCATAGATTTGAAAAGACTGACGTGTCGAGTAATCCGGAGGTTCATGTTCTCGCGACAGAAGGGAATGAGACCTTGGGCGTGGAGTTCTGGATTTGAAACGCTTTTGAAGTCTTCTCTTATCACGATCTTGCGTAGCAACATACGTGCTCTTGGATTCATCCTTTGCACTGTGCAGCAGTGTCAGAGACATTTGGCAGCATTTGGTATGAAACTTACAGTATTGGATAGCTACTGCTGTAGCGGAGAAGTACCACTTAGTATTCCGTGCGCAATAGAAGGTATGCATGCCTCCCACGGCTCTGATCGATAATACCGCTTCAATAGACGCAAGTTCCTCATGGCACGGTATATGCCATGTCTCAGGCTTCCATCCGAGAATCTCACACAAAGATCCCTCGGAAAAGAGATTTCCCCGTTTTGGTTCATGTGAGGCACGAAGAAGCTGAGGATACTCTTCTCCAAAGGTCTTCACAGCAGATCTTGCGAAAGCGAAAGGATTGCGAGCCTTGGCGAGTTCAAGTGCAAGTTGGAGAGCTTTATCGAAGTCTCCATTCGCAAACAGAGAGTCGACATGATTGTCCATCTCTTCCATCTTCAACCCATCTGTGCGTTCTCTGACAGCCCAGCGAAAGGGGCCATCAAACCAAAACGCAAAGTCTTGGTACTCTTGAGCAAGTGTCGCGTAGTCGGCTGTCGTCAGTAATGAGGCGGTGCAAACAAGCATACGGACTCTCTGGATTTGGCGACACTTGAGAACTACCATCTGGAAGTCAGTCTAAAGAACCACAGTTGGTAAGGCACTTTTCACACTCGGAGTATACGTACGAGTTTTGAAGCGCCCAGCCCTTGAGTTGAGATTCATGTACCCATGTCCGTCGTCCACGGAGCACATAGCATGAAAGATGACCTCATTACGCTTGAAAGCCAAGCCTTTCATCTCAGCGGCCGCGATCTTGCAAGTCTTTATCAAGTTGATGTTGACAACCTGTGGTTTTGGCGTTGTGGACGAGGGGTGGCCATCCATCATTTTCCGAGTTTCCGGGTTGTAGAAGTAGCCGTTATCGGCGACGACGTAGTATTCGTATATTTTGTCTCGGATCTCGCCTGATAATCGGAAGAAGGGCGATTGAAGTTGGTTCGATCTCACGTTGATGAACGGCCATTTGTTCCAGTGCGCGAAACGCGTAGTCGGCGTTTTGTCCGACATGCTTGAGGAATGAAAGATGCTACAGATGCTGCTTCCTATATACTTTAAAGTCGAGACGATAACTCTCGGTTTGAATATCTTCATACCTTGACTCACACAGGCTTGATTGGGATGAGTCGCAAGTACGCTGTTAATTTGGATCGGAGTCAGGGTACCACGTGGCTGCTCGAGTAGTCCATGGTACGTCTTAGATGACTAGAGAATCTATGAATTTGGACGGTATGCTATGACTCAGTCTCTCTGAGAACATTGCGCAAAGACATGCACCAATGCGTATCGTTAAAATTGTTTCGGGTTGTCGTAGGCTAGGTACACAGGCACATCGCACTTAACGCTTCACTTCAGTACGCGGCACTATGGCCTCGCGCCTTTGACAAAGAAAGACCCCAAAGCTTGCATGCAGGTTATTTGAGACACAGAAATGCTCATAATGGTTCGTTATCACCTGCGAAGTATGCGCACAGCCACTTTGATTCGCCATACTGTGGATTGGTTCGAGGTTGAGGTGCTGCTCATGCGAGAGAACAAGCGATTTATGGAGAGTACGCATACTATCAGACTAGCGTTGCAGTTGCATACAGAGGCGAGATATAGAGACAACAAGCCACACCGACATGCGCTTGATCATGGAGCGATTTCTTTGCCAAAAGATTACAATTGTCTCATGAAACCCAAGGCACAAAGAAAAAAGCCCCCACATCCACTACGCATTCCTTGACCCAGGTGCTCCAGTCATGTCAATGTCATACCTATCCCACACATATAGCCAGAATCGTGAGGTGATAGCTAAGTTGATCTTCTCTTTCCAATCTGACTCCCATTGCTCCAATGTCCAGTTCCTCGTTTCAAAGCAGTAAGCGTCCAGATCCCACAACTCGCCCGCATCTCCATTGTATCGCACAATTGAGTTTCCCTGAGCGATGTCGCAGATGGTTTGCGCGAAGTTGGCGGGAAGGCTCCAAACAGCATAGATGCTGTAGTAACGCGGCGGAGTGATTCTGGGTGGCAAGCTTGTGCCACTCCGCCGGTGTTGTCTGTGACGAGCTTCCTGCGTGGCTGCGGCGTATTTGAGCATGTGCCAGAATTCCGTTGATTCTCTGGCGGCGCCGTCAACAAGAAGCTGGAATGATTTCGTAGGCATTCCGTGCGAGGGTAACAACAATGCGTCCTCAATCCAAGGGATCAGAGCTCTGAAGCAATGCTCGGTATTGATGTACGCGCGTCTATTAGCCGATATCTGTGAGGAGCCCACTGGAAGTAGGTTTGTTAGGAGGCTGATATGCCTCGTGATAAGAAGAGAAGGATTCTCGAGACAGAATGGGATTAGTCCTCGCGCGTGGCACTCCGAACGGGATACGGCCTTGACATCTTCGTTGAGTACGATAGATCGCACATTACACCTGCGCTCTCCTGGTATACGGTGTACTGTATTGAGATTAGTAGATTGCTTCAATCGTCGATTACCAATTATCAAATCGCACGGGTGAGTATAGATTCGAAGAACGAACTGAACTTACGAAATTCGATTGCTGCGGTAGCAGCAGAAAAGTACCATCTGCTCCTCGCTGCGTGGAGATGTTCAGTGATGTCTTCGAAATAGAAGACTCCGTCTTTCGTCGTAGGAAGGGAGGTATCCGATTTCCCAGGCTGGCAGATAAGGGCCTCTAACTTCGAGAGTTCTTGGTCACTTGGGATGCACCATGGTGCGGGATGCCAATGATATATGTCGGATAGTGCTCCCTCTACAAAGAGGTTATTTTGCACTAAGTTTAAAGCACTGTTCCTGATGGGGCAGTCACCTAAGCCAAACGTCGGACCTACTAGCTTGGCGAACTTTGATGGATTCCGATTTTTTGCCAGTACCAACGCGTGTTGAAGAGCATCGCTGAAAGCTTGGCTGCGGACATCTTCGCCATGGTCTGTCGATGGGCCAAGCTCGTCCCTTCGACGCGCGATTGCTTGCTGCAGTGGTATGAGAAACCATTGTCTTACCGAAGGGTAACGATTGTGTATGTCGATGAAGTCCTCGGTTTGCAGTAACTCGGCAGCGCACACCAGCATGCGACACTTTTGCCTTTCAACGTATTTCAGCACTGCGGCTTTGTTAGATCTATATGAAGGAGCTCTTGTATTAGAATGGCACTGACAGCATCTAAAGCGGCCCGCCCGTGAGCGTACTGTCATGTATTCGCCCCCATCATCGACTGACTGCATGGGATAGAATTGTATCTTTCTAAACGCACTCGTCTTCATCTCTTCTGCAGCGATGCGACATGTTATCCGTAGGCCTATTCGCACGACTTGCTTAGGCGTTATCGACGGGTTCTGGTACAATAGTTTGCCCATCTCGCTGTCGTAGTGGTAACCGTCCTGCTCGAGAAGGTAGTATTCGTAAATGATGTCTCGGACCTCTCGAGGAAGCCGAAATAGCGGCGACTGGAGCTGAGCTGAGTAGTATTTGGTTTTCGAGGCGGTCATGAAAGGAAATACATTCCAATGCGCAAACTTGTTCGTCCTCATATTTGGGCGTGCAGAAGCCATGGCGACACGAGTTTGGAGTGTGGGTAGGGAAGGAATAGTCTCAGCAAATATAAGTAAGTTAAGTGTTATCAAGTGGCGATGACTCCTCTCGATACTGCACTGGTAAGGTTGTATGAACCGTGGCTCGAACACGATCGCGGCGTGTCCCTACCTAGGTAAAAGGCGGGGCCATAACTCATGCGCGAGGATGGTTTGAGAGAATTGCCTAACATGCCGTGATTAAAGGCCTGAAGCGATGGACTTAGGCAGTATCTGCACAGAATTGACGCTGACATGAAAGAAAGGTGTGTATTAATCATGTACGAGGTTGAATGGTAGAAGTGGTGGTCGCCGCACCCCACCTGGGCATAGTTGAGCCCCACACCGAGCTTCCGTGCAATCAGTCCGCCTCGAATCGGGCGTACCGGATTAGGGTTTGTCGTCGCGCTACTCTACGTCATGGATTAGCATTTGAGTCATACTGTAGCTCGATAAATCTCACTCAATCGTACTGCCTCTTTCTTGAGACTTCTCCGGGCCCCATATCCACCGAGGCGAATGCCACATGTCCAACCTCCGCCGCCATGTTCACATCTCCAATCCTGATACGTACTTTTCGCAGCGCTTTCGCAGCTTCAAGCCCATCGATATGTGATGCAACGTGTGTGGTCACATATGGATTGTCGCGCGCCGATGTAGAGACGTAGCCCAATGTATCGGGGGCTTTGGTGAGGATACCCAGAATCAGAGCCACCAATGCGGCTGCCACAAGGAACATACTGATTGCAATGGTAATGATTGCAAACCACAAATGACAGATGTATCGCTCGTCCGCATGTTGGACGTTGTGGGTGCTGGTCGTGTTCCAAGTGTAGCTTAAGCTAGGAAACCTCCCACTAAACCATTCGAAGTCGGCCGCTTGAATTCTTGTGAAGTTTCCCTTGCGCAATGTTACACCGAGTGTGATGTCCCAGTAAGTGTTGATCGCCATCTCCAAACGTTGGTTGAAGACTGCAATCGGCACTGTGCTAAGATCAACCCATTGAAGGGGCTCGGGCTCCCTCCTGTCGGGGTCAATGTCGGCTTCGTAGGAGCTGAGATTAGGATCCAATAGCCAGTGCTCGATAATACCGCTGGAGTCCGTAGTGTCGACGGATCTCCTATTGCGGTTGCCAGCCGTTGCTAAGGTTAAACCCTTGGCGATCTCCTGGAATGCTATTTCTTCGGGAGTAAAGTTGCTCTTGAAGATAGAGCGTTTATCGATTTGCAGGATGTTGGTGCGATTGAGCATCCGCATCTCTTGGACCGCGCAAGCGCGTGCCTCACAGGCGACCTTTGACTCAACCGCGATAGGCTTCTTCAGGCACAATGTTTCGGAGATCAGCGAGCCTGGGTCTCGAGCTTCATCGAAATAGGGAACCTCAGCTGGAGAATAGTCTATGGACGCAAACTCAAACATTGACCCGTTAGTGTACAGCAACTGGAATGTAGTATTCGAGCTTAGAGTACTATCAGTTCTGCCTTTAAGCACTGTCATATTGTTGCAATCGATTGACCAATAGTGCGAGGCTATCGTGAATGTAGTGTTTCCCTTCTCCGGTAATCCGGCTACAGGTATCCCAAAAAGGGAAGAGTATTCGACCCTGGCTGGATTACTGACTGAATGCCATTCGAAATCGCGGCCTCCAGGAATGTACGTGGGTAGAGAAACTAGACGAGGTATTCTGACATAGCCAGCCATGTCTACTGACGAGTTCACGTAAGATCCCGCGGTAATCAGAGCAGTCGTGTAGAGTAGAGCGTTTTGAGTCCAACTTCGGCGGACCATGGCCATTCGCATGTTGCGGATGTAACCCTCGATTGGAAAGTACATCACACTTCCATCATTGGACACCACAAACCGGGGCCTTGTTGAAAGAAGACGCAGTGACGACTGGCCGCCCACAGGAGACAGAAGCCAAGCTAACAGGATTGTCACACTCAGTGTGTCGACTTGCCGAAATGCCAGCTGTCTCTCGAACGCAGAGAACATCGATTGACAGCCAATCAGGCGCTCGATTGTCTGATAGCTGTCAGCATACGTTAGCACTCCAAATTTCTGCGTAGTTGTCCGATTCAACGTACACCAATTGTGGCGCTACGCTCCGCCTTGTAGACTCCGATGCGACGGAGCATTCTCCCTAGTATTGCCGCATACACAACGGGAAACACTGTTGGCAGGAACAACGTGATTGCGCGGATATCGTTTCCATACTTGGAGACAGGTCGGTTGTTCAATGAGAGAGCCAAGCAGGCAATTACTGTGAATCGTCAGTCATGGCTCCGCTCTTGTCACATGAGGACCTTACTTAGAAAAAAGAAGGGGATGAGCGTTAGAAGTACATCGATAGGAGTCAAAAGCCACCACTGATAAGGACTTCTCCTCAAGGAACCGATGCCTGGCTTCTTTGGGGCATAGCTTTCTGAATCTTGTATAGATGCATCCGTTGTAGAGTCTTCTAACCTCGTCTCCCCTAATCCCTGTTGCGAGACCTGCTCGTAGTGAGCAACATCTGATCTGGAAATTGGTGATATCAATGGTTCCTGGTTGGGAGTTTTCGAGGTTCGCAAGATCGAGACTGGCAAATCCACGGGTTTCTGGTTGATGAGCGGGGCACGTACGCGCACGACGGCTTCCGGTCCTTGTTTCTCAGCTTCATCGCTCTCTGCTTGGGATATGTAGGCACTGATCATGCTAGCGATCTCCGGTGGAATAACTTCGGAAGTTCTCTCCGGCATTGTATGGCACAGTAAATTTCAAAGAAATTGGAACAACATATGCAAAATGTAAACGATCTGGAAAAACCTGATATCGAAGTATACTGAGGAGGTTCCTGCAGTTAAGTAAGGCCCGATATGAAACAGGTCAGCAAGCCTCATCCCAACGCTTGGCATTATGGGGCCAGAATCATAGCCCCCAAGACGCATACTGATCGGTAGGAACCCGGTATCAGTCCTACATACACGATATCTTCATTGGCTTATCGCGATGCTGTGCCACATGAGAACGTATGGGGCAGACCTTGGTAGACTGTAAAGGGGATTGGGGGCTGTAGTCAAATACCCATGCAATAGGTCTGACACTATCGGTAGGACGAGTGCAGGTTTAGCGCCATGTAAAATTTCGCCAATTTATCCACTGACATATTGGCTCGTCTTGTCTTTTGAACCGTTATACGCGCTCGTTCGTAGAAAAGACTTGATGACTTACCATTATTCGATATGCGAATGCCACATACCAAATTAAACTTTGCTGAATTTGACCAGGCCAAAAGCGCTTGACCCTACGTCATAGTTGATGGAAAGTTGGCTGCAGTGCCTCCACGCTTCACAGGCCTCGTTTTCATCTATGTGCATCTCGCCTTCGTCCTTATGAGATATTAACTGACTTTTTTGCGCTCTGGATAAGCAGATCAAAGACCCAGCGAGCTTCAACACTACCCAGGTGTTCTCGCGCTCTGAGCATCGCAAGCCAAGGTTTGGCCTATTGATACCAAAGCCCAAAGGCATCCCCGTTCTCAAACTCTTGGTTGACGAACTCATCCACCAGATCGCCAAAGTCAAACCTCGCATCTTCTTCGTCTGGAAATGCGGAATCATGCCGTCCAGTGGAAGCAAAGTCGTGCCCATACGCGTCAGCAAGAATCGTGTCGCTGTAATTGAAGTTGCCGTCACCAACGCCTGCCATGAAGTCGTCGAAGACAAGTTCCGGCAACAGAGGCGCATCCAACCCAGGCGCGTGAGCGAATGCCAGTGCAGTATCGAAAGCGTCGGCGGCCTGAATTTCCGACTCGTAGTGGTGCTGCTCACGCGATGATCGGAAAGTAAGCGTCCGTGCCAACTTCGAGAGCACATTCGGTCGTCCTTCGCTCGAAGTCGGCCTCTTCTTACTCGCCTCAGCATCCTGTCTTGTATACCCTTTCCAATCTGCCATTGTCAACCCATCTTTGAAGTGCCCCGCTACGTGAGTCTCACGATCATCCCACGTCTTCAGCACCTTTGCGCAGAAACCGCAGGCCCAGTTCTCCACGGCATGGCTACCTGGGCCCTCTCGTCTCCAGAGATCGCGGACATTATCATCCAGTTTTGCTTTATGGAAGTTTTTTGACGTGCTGACGCAGATGATCTGGTCGCAAAAACGTTCTTTCACTTTCACCCTTGGCCATGCACTCAGCTATGCGGTGGCATTCGGCAAAGTGCTTGTCGCTGGGGTTCGCTGCCATGCAGAATACACAAGACGTAGACGCATCCGATCGAGAAGAAGTTGTGATGCTAGGGCCAGTGTGCAAGCATGTCCACTTTCGTTTCGGTCGATGCTGGGTCTCCTCATGGCGGCGCCAAGATTTGCGCGCGATGTGTTGGTAGCAAAAGGTGCACTGCCACGTCTGTGATTCGCTATCGACATCATCGGCAGATGGAAGTCGTGATTTGAATGGAAAAGATTGCTCTTTGGAGACTGAAGTAGGTACGTTGACAGACTGGCCGTAATTCTTCTTCTTGCCTCGCCTAGATGTAGTTGTGTTCGTATGGCTGGAGTCGTCACCTGTGTAATGAGACGTGACCGAATACCGACGATCGGATGGTGCCTCGAAGCCTGATGAGGTGTCTCGGTTCGACAGCGCTGTGGATATCACGCTAGAAAGTCGAGTATTCCGAGCTCCTTCATCTTCCGAGGCCGGGTTAGACGATTTCGCATCGAGGACCCTTCTTCGCGCTCGCGCATTAGTAAACCAGGTGTTAACCTGCTTCTCAGTGATACCACATTTCTCGGCTAGTGAACGCTTGGTCTCGTTGTCTGGATACGGATTGTTTCGATGTTCTCTCAACCATCCTTGCAGACATCGCGTCGCATGTGACTCGAGCTTGGTGGGTGGCCGTCGGGCGCAAGAACGTTTGACTCTTGATGGCTGGTCTAATGGAGGTGGACAGAACAAGCCCATGTTTGGGGTGCACGAAGTACAGTTGACGGGCTGGCCTGGGTGAATGAGTGTCGAGATCTCGCACGCAGTACATCGCCCGGTACTCTTGGGTTGGGAGAAGTCTTCCGACGAAGTCACCTTCAAAACGTCATGTCGAGGTGCCGCAGTCTTCGTCTTTGGTGGTTCAGCAGTACCTAGTACAGCATCAAGCGTCTCGAATCCTTCACTCGTGCAGTCGTCGCATCTAATGTTCCCGTCGGGGTTGATGATGTTCCAAAGCTGACATCGGAGGCAATCGATACCATCACTCTGCGTCGGTACCAACGATTCGTTACTAATGCGAACTTTCGCCGTGAACACGTCGACTCCCGTAGCAAGAGGCTCAGTCGAGTTGGTGATTGCTCTCGCGCGAATTTCGTCTCCCAGTTTAAGGGTCACAGGTCCGCCAAGATTTGACTGATTGGACTGGTTGGGGGACGTAGGCAACGTTCCATAGATCGTGGAGCTTCCGGCCTGGTCAATCTGCTCAGCGTCAATAATTGCGCAACATACAACATTGCGCACGATTGTACCTGGAACCCCTCATCATCTTCCAAGGTGCCTGATCCGTACCCCGAATCAAAAGACCATATACTAGCGGCCTTACTCTTAGGCGGTTGGGATAACATCGTGTTGAAGCGCTACACTAATGTTAGGGTGCGTCAAACCAACGTCTAGACGCCAAGTATCTATCGCAATACCGTCAATGGGACATGGGAAGTGGACCGCGGGTAGAAATAACTAGACACGTTCCGCGACGACGCGCGAGGACAACCACTCGATCTATTCTGAGATACAGGGTGTTCGTGGCTTGGGCTGGACGCCTAACGTGTGGCACGACTGTGGCGTTGCTTTGCTATTGGCTCGAAGCCTGTCGTTGTCGGGACAGGGAGGATAGGTACCTCAGCCTCGCCTGGGGCTGAGTACATCGAGGGTTGTACTGTTTGCTTGCCACGCTATACTGAGCGTGGCGCTGACCTGGACTGGCGGTGCGCATCAGGAAGCATCCAGACAGGCGGTATGCACTATGTGTGACCAGTATGACGGGGCAATGGACTTCTGTTTGCGCGAGTGCATTTAGTGTCATGAATGAGCACCGTTCGAGGTTGTGGTGAGGAGTCGCCCGTCGCGGATACCAGACGTCATCACGGGGAAGGAACCAGCCTCCCGCACATCGGCGCCCGGGAGCTATCGCGTCACCGTGTTCCCAGACAGAACAACCCCGTCAAACAATAATATGCGAAAACAAAGATATTGGGTATTCATTTTTTCCATCTCTCGCCCTACCAACAATGCCGTAATGCTATGGCGCAATTTTGCGAACAATGTGTGTAACTCGAAGTAGAAGGAGAAGCGCTCTATAGCAGTGCGCCTGACCTTATCCATCCCATAACCATTCCTAGTCCAGCCGCATGCAAAAGATCGTAAAGTCGTTCCATATATTCGTTCCCATGTGTTTTGGCCCTCAAGCGGCTTCTCCAACCACCCCACTGCCAGCACCAGCGCCCTTGCACCAAGGGTGCTCGAGCACCATGCTGATGGTAATCCTTTTCTCCACATTTCGATCTAGCATCAGTCGCACAAGATCGATGCTCTCTTCCGACATGACCCACGGTACGCGGAGATCATGATCCATGATCTCATCGATGGAATAGAAGGGGTTTTCTTTGTATATGATGGTGTAAAGGAGAATGCCAAGGGCCCAGACGTCTTGTTCTTTGCCGCGGTAGGCTTTTCCAGCTAAGACTTCCGGGGCAGCGTAGTCTGATGAGCGTTAGTATGACCATAAGGATTCGAGAGTGACGGGGAACATACCAATTGTGCCTACAAAGACGTCAAAGGGTCCGCTTTTGATGTACGCTGCGCTTCCAAAGTCGATGAGCTTGATGTTGCCTTCACCGTCAAGGACGACGTTCTCATCCTTGATGTCTCGATGCACGACCTTCGCTTTAGTGTGCAGATGATGTACCGCTTCTGCGACCTGAACAAAGATCTTACGACATTCTTTTTCTTCCATATTGACACGTAGCTCAATGTAGTCGAAGAGATCCATGCCCGGTAGACCGTGCGGTATCATCTCGATGTAGTAGTTGATGTCATCCTCGAAGAAATCGGCCATTTCCACAATGTTAGGGTGTTTGAAGCCGTCGCGGCGGAGATAGTCCAGGACGTGAATCTCGAGCGGCACAGTTCCAAGCCTTCGGTCTCGTGTCCACGTGTCGACTAAGATACGCCGCTTCGTAACATACTTGATCACAACCTTCTTGTTGCTGTTCTTCTTGTATCGACATAGCTTGACTTGCCCATAGGCGCCTTGGCCCATATCCTCCAACACTACAAAATCGTTGATAGTCTTCTTCTGGGATGGCTCATCCTGTGCAGGTGCTGGCGGCGGTGCCATGGCTCCTTTCTGAGATTGTTGCGGAGTATTAGGCCGCATGGCTTCTTGAATCTGCTGTGTGAGGAGTGAAACTGTAGGCGGTGTTCCTTGCGATTGATGTGATTCGGGTTCTTGTGGCACGGAGAAACTGGACTGGCCTGGCTCTGGTTGGCGGGGTGAGGGTGGCCGTGACATAAGGGGAGTCACTGGACCGATACCGTGGTTCGCAGCGTGCAGTTGCCTGGAGTATGTTATCCACAAAGCGTAGACCAGCTCTGGACCCTTGTTTGGTTTCGATGACCCATCTTCCTCTTCAATGACATTCTCATCAAATCGGGGCGACTTTTCGCTCTTCACAACTCGCATTTGCACGTCAACCATTATTTCTGATCCGTCGCGATGTAAGGCTGGCAGACCACTTGGTCGCAGGAAGATGGCTGCGGCATCTGCACTACCTTCGCGCATTGCGAGCAGGGCTCGTGCGCGACGAAAGCTGTGTTCGGGAATAACGATCCCGTCAACCAGCTCTATCTTGTCCTCGTCTGTCATGACGTGCAGAATTCTGTCGAACGCGGGTATGAGCTTGCTGACGTGGATACCTTCAGGTCGCGGCTGCCCAAACAGAGCCGCGGAGAACACGGAATTGGAACTCGTAATTTTGAGGTCGTCGGACGATAGGACAATGATGCCGGCGATGTGAGGGAAGCTAGATATGCGGAAGGTAGGTTCGCCAGGCAAGGCTTCCACAGTCACGGGTATATTGATGCTGTTCGACGTGCGAGCTGTGTAGCTGCGGAACTCGTCAATGGAGTCGTAGTCTAGTACTCCAGTGTTTGTTCCTCGGAGTCGTGGTATACCTGGTATGAGACGCTTGAGATCCATGCCCCTCCGTAACCGATCGCTCCCGAAGACAGCTTCCGTTGCGCCCCAGCCCTTGGATACGCAGCCTGTTTCGTCGACCGTGATGTACACGACGTCTTCGGCGATCTCTTCAAGCACCCATATGAGACTGCCCCGCTTCTCTTTGACCCACAAGCTGGCAGACCCGGTCGAGCCGTCGCGTTTCTGTATCGGAATAACGTCTCCACAGAGTAGGACGCCCCTTGAGCCCTTGTGTTCGTGGTTCAGCTTGCCGGTCTTCTTCGCGTTGTAGTAGGAGGATCCACTGCCGTCGTCCGTTTGTGCTTTCCTCGCGGCTGTCACTCGTGATGGAGCCTTGCTCAGTAACCGCGCTGTGACACCGCTGCCGACCTTCAGATTGTTGTTGGCAGCCGATACTCCAGACGGCGCGTTCTTCGAGCCACTTTCAGGATCCTTCAGCTTGCTCTCGAGCCATTTCCTGCGGTCCTCACGCACGACCTCGAGGATGCCCAGCTTACGGACCTCCGCCCTTGTTACTCCAAATACCAAGCATGCCAAGTCGTTTGCGGATGTGATAGTCCACGGTGTGTCTGTCTCGGTAGTAAAGATGGCCTGTGCTGCTGGAGCGTGTCGGCTCCCGTGTCCATGCGGCGCTGACCCCGCAGAGTGAGGCCCTGGTGCATTGCTGAAACTCGGTGGCAGAGTCGGTATGCTCGCGGGAGAAACGAGGTCCCC